ATTATCTGTGAGTCATTTCAGTCCTGGCCTTCTCTCTTTTCTCCTTTTTTTTGTTGTTTTTGTTCTTCTTCTTCTTCATCTATTTTCTCCTTTTCCTCTCCTCCTTGTACCCCTACTGCTACTAATTCTACTTATTGTTGTCCTCTTAGTGCCATTCACTTTTGTTATTATTATTAGACTGGTAGTAGTAGCAGCAGCTATAATGGTAGTGATAATAACAATAATTAGTAATAATGATAATGGTGATGATAATAATAACTTTCGCTTTTATCATCATCATCAGTATAATTATCATTACTGTTGTTATCAAGTTGCTGATATTACTGTTGTTGCTCTCAGTAGTGATAAAGCGAATGCTACTTGTTACGTGCATTAGATTAGTCTATGTCCCTTGAGATATGATTACGTCAGCATTTTTTTCTTTTATGTTCCTCAAGGGGTTGTAATTTGGCCTTTAGATGGTTGTTATAACTAATTAGAATATGGGAGGGATAAGTATTGATTGCATCAGTAGTGCAGTTATATTGGAAAAGCGAATTCTGTACCCTTTGAATTTTAACGTTGTAAATCCGTTCAAATACAAGCTTGTGGGTGCAATGGAAAAAAATAAGATAGTGTACACAGTAGATCGCAGATATAAACGGAAAATGTGAAGGAAAAATAAATAAATTATAAATAGTATGATGTCTCCGTCTTTCATGTAAAGTATACTTCAAGAAGATCAATATGTCCAGTTCATTTAACGGTCGCGGGTCAGTGTCCGTTGGAGCGTCCGAGTTTACATTCGTCAGCTGATGGCAAGGCTTGGGTAGGTCAGGGTCACCTCGGAACATGGGCACCGAGGGCAGGATCCTTGCTTGCTGGCTGGGGAACGCGGCAACACTGAGAGCATGGTGACGAGGAAAGCGTTGGTCTGGTTCTCTCTCTCTCTCTCTCTCTCTCTCTCTCTCTCTCTCTCTCTCTCTCTCTCTCTCTCTCTCTCTCTCTCTCTCTCTCTCTCTCTCTCTCTTTCCCTCTTTCCCTCCCACCCTAACTCCCTCCCCCCTCTCCCTTTCTCTCCCCCGTCCCTCCCTTTCTCTCCCCCTTCCCACCCTTTCTCTTCCCCCTCCCTTCCTTTCTCTCCCCCGTCCCACCCTTTCTCTTCCCCTTCCCTCCCTTTCTCCCCCCCCTCTCTCATCCCCTCTCCCATTCCCTCTTTCTCCCTCGCTCGCTCTCTTACTTCTCACAGGATTCTATGTAAAATCATGACAATTCATATGACAGGGTAACTTCTCGAAAAAAAAAAATGTCGTTCTTTCAACTTCTCAGAATTCTGTCAGTTTGAACCAGTCAGTGTTGTGGTTTTGTCAAGTAAGAGCTTTAATGACAAGCGTCTTTGTGTTTATGCATTTGTTTGCTTCGAGATTGTCCTTTTTGGCTCAGCAGGTTAACAGGATTATTTAGGGACCTGTTCGCAAAAAATATATATATAATTTTCACCATGTTTATGCTTTGATTCATTGATATATATACTCCATTCATTTAAATTATTAATATACATTCAAAGTACATTAAAAATACATTACATTGATGGCATGCCAAAGACGCAAATGAAGTGAAACTGCCCGTCAGTCGTCACGTTTTTATTTCGTTTCTGCTCTGACTACGTTTCATTTCATTGGAAGTACATAGCTAATTGACTGGGAAGATTCGACACCGCTATACAGTATTATCATATCAGAGATAGCCTATAAGAGTCATATTTATCCGTTGTATAAACTTCGCAAGTCATCTACACTTCTTTCATTTCCTTCATTTCTACAATTTTCATCCTTTTTTCCCCTTCCTCTTCATAATGTGAACACAGTTGATAACGATTTAATGTGCATACTAATTATATGTGAAATTACCACGTTATTCTTAACTTTTTTTCTAAGCGTACCTTTTCAAGATATTGTTATCACTCTCTTGAGGATGTTTATATGATTATTAAAAGTCAGAGAGGAAGTTGATTTTTTGTTGTTTTCCATTAGAAATAACTAGTTCAAGAGAAGCACAATATTTTAAGCAATTTCAGCATGCAAGAGCAGCAAACATACAGTAAGTCGTTTTCGGGACATTTTTCAATCTTTTCCTTTCAAGCCATAGTGAGATGGTCGAGGCAAAGTGTGCGACAGAGCGAAAAGGTGAGAAAGAAATAAATGAATAAAAAAAACGCACTTTATAAAGACCAAGGTACGGTACAAGTAAAACCTTTGGTCTGGTAAGTCTTAAGATTTCTCAGTCTTAGAAGATTTATGAATGCGGGTCCCCCCCAAAAAAAGGCGCCAGATTTGAAGGTGATCGGGGATTCGTATTTCTACATTTGATCTTTAATTAACTAATATCCGACGCAATTTTTCAGCTTGGAAAAAAAAAGTCTCGGAACAAATAATTTGTGCGATAAACTTTACTCGTTTATTCTCTCTCTCTATTATCAACTCGCCTCGTTATTCATGTATACTTTTTTTTTTCTCAACAGGAATTTGCGTCAAGACACGAAATGAGGAGAAGAAAAAGATTTTCATCAACGTGTGCACCTCCGAGGCTATTCCCGCCCCGGAAGACATCACCGACCAAGAGCTGATCGCTATTTTGGAATCCGACAAGCCGTCAGATTTTCGCGTCCCGATGTCCATTGGCCAGCTGCACGAGGAGAAGGATAAGTGTAGGTGGTGTGTGTGCGTGTGTGTGTGTGCGCATGTGCGTGTGTGTGCGCGTGTGTGTTTGTGTGTGTGTGTGTGTGTGTGTGTGTGTGTGTGTGTGCGTGCGTGCGTGTGTGTGTGCGTGTGTGTGTGTGTGTGTGTGTGTGTGCGCGCGCGCGTGAGTTCGTGTGTGTGTGTGTGTGTGTGTGTGTTTTCATCTTGTAATATAATACTGTTTGGATTTTTATCGTAAAAACAAAAGCCCTTCACCTTAATTACAGTGTATACTGATATATATCTGTCAATATAAAATTTGCAAATAAAAACCATCTAACACAAAATGATGGTCGGGAATGAATTTTAAGTTGTTTCTCGATCACAGAAAGTCATATAAGAGATATCAAAGGCATCCTCCTTAGTAATGATCATTATCTTAATAAAAGCATCAACGTAATTGGCAGCTGGCGAAGTGTGCTTGGCTTACGACGTGGTTATAAACCCGGAATTTTTCACTAAGATGACAGACAACCCTCTCTTCCACAATTTCTTCATGATTGCAACTATGGAAGGAATCGAGGAGAAGTACACCATGGCCTTGGACAAAAATGGTGCGTTTTTGTTGTTGCTGTTTTTGGTGATCTAGTTGGTGTTGATGTTGTTATTTTGTTGTTGTTATTATTGTTGTTGTTGTTGTTATTATTATTTTAATTAATGTAATCATATTATTTCTATTATCATCATCATCATCTTTTTTATTTTTTGTTATTTCTATCATCATTATTATTATTGTAATTATTATCATAATGATGCTGATGAGGATGATGATTATAATAATAATGATAATTATTATTATTATTATTATTATTATTGTTATTGTTATTGTTATTCTTTTCATTATTGTTATCATATTATTTCTGTTACCATCATAATCATTTTTTAGATAGTTTCTGGGATCAAGAAAATGTCTGGTGTGCATATGATCCGGGATCCTCGTTATCTGTTAATTTCTTGTGTACACTGATTTTTTCAAGGGAGTGTATAAACAAAATTAGGTAAATTAACAGATATCGAGTCCACTACCTGGTTAAGAACTAATATTACCTTGATTGCAGGTTGGACAGTACTGAAAAACAAGAAATATCATGGAACAGTGCCAGAACAGACGGTGAGGACCTCCGTGCCATTGGTTCAAGAATTAAGTGGAGTCCGTCACTGGAAACCAGAGGACGTGAAGCCAGCCACAAGTTCCTCCTCACCAAAGATAGTGCCAGAGAAACCTCTGATAACAGAGCTGTCATCCAAAGCCATAGAAGATAGCTCCAAAGAGAAGAAGAAAAGCGTGCCAAAATATACACTGAGGAAGACAGGAGATGAGCAGAAAAGAAACTTCGAGGCAGAGGTTTCCTTACCGAAAATGGTGAGTTTAGGTTTGTTTGCAGTGTTTGTCAAGTTTCTTCAGAGCAGTAACAGTTACTTCCGATTGCACATTTTTGCAAAAATAAAGTATTTTCACATTCATCAATTATGACATAGATTTTTCTATTAGTCATTTGTTGGTCAGCAAAACATTCTTTTTGTCATCATCAAATTCAGGGGCATAATAGGAGTCCCATGGATGGACTTCCGTGTTAGTGTGACAACCAGAAGTTCTCAGGTGCAGTTTTTCTGTAAAAATACATACTTATGTTACCTCAGACATTTCATGTGAATGCCTCTTTCCATTCCTCCAGTTTAGTAGCATTTTAATCTTTCTTTCTTTTGTTCCGTCATAAGAAGTATATGAGAAAATTGGGTTGAGACAGCCTGTGCCGCTTACCAAGTTAAAGTTATAGTTTGCATTTTTTTCAGATAGTGGAAAACATTTATTATAGATGCACATTTGTCACATGCATTTATAAAAAACAATAATTTGGTAGGTTGTATTACAAATCTCCCCAACATTACACACTGAAACACAGAACGTCTAAAGGCCATGGTATTATGTGCTTCAGATAAGTGGAAAGGGATTGCAGCTGGATGTGGGAGAAGATCGCCTGGTGGTAGAGACTTCTGAGAATCTGCTTGACATTTTCCTCCCATTTTCTTTGGATTCTGATGGTGCCAGAGCATACTTCATTACATCAAAGAGGGTAAGCCTTTGCTATATAATTTTAGATATGTGTAAACACACCTATAAACACACACAACGTATGTCACACACACACACGTCACACACACACGTCTCACACATACATCTCACGCACACGTCACACACATACGCCTCACACACACGCCTTACACACACGCTACACACACACGCCTCACACACACACCTCACACACACGCCACACACACACTCCACACACACGCCACACACACACGCCTCACACACACGCCACACACACACGCCTCACACACACGCCTCACACACACGCCACACACACACGCCACACACACACGTCTCACACACACGTCTCACACACACGTCTCACACACACGACACACACACGTCTCACACACACGCCTCGCACACACGCCTCGCACACACGCCTCGCACACACGCCACGCACACACGCCACGCACACACGCCACGCACACACGCCACACACACACGCCTCACACACACGCCACACACACACGCCTCACACACACGTCACACACACATACACATACACATACACATACATCAAATGCACATGCACACACTCCTTCTCCCTCTCTCTCCCTCTCTCTCTCCCTCTCCCTCTCCCTCTCTCTTCCTCTCTCTCCCTCTCCCTCCCTCTCCCTCCCTCTCCTTCCTTCTCCTTCTCCCTCTCTCTCCCTCCCTCCCTCTCTATCTCTCCCTCTCCCTCCCTCCCTCTCTCCCTCTCTCTCTCTCTATCTATCTCTCTCTCTCTCTCTCTCTCTCTCTCTCTCTCTCTCTCTCTCTCATTCTCTTATTCTCTCTTATTCTCTCTCTCATTCTATCGCTATCTCTCTCTCCCTCTCTCTCCCTCCCTCTCCCCCCCCCCTCTCTCTCTCTCTCTCTCTCTCTCTCTCTCTCTCTCTCTCTCTCTCTCTCTCTCTCTCTCTCTCTCTCTCTCTCTCTCTCTCTCTCTCTCTCTCTCTCTCTCTCTCTCTCTCTCTTTCTCTCTTTCTCTCTTTCTCTCTTTCTCTCTTTCTCTCCCTCTCTCTTTCTCTCTCTTTCTCTCTCTTTCTCTCTTTTTCTCTCTCTTTCTCTCTCCCTCTCTCTCTCTCTCTCTCTCTCTCTCTCTCTCTCTCTCTCTCTCTCTCTCTCTCTCTCTCTCTCTCTCTCTCTCTCTCTCTCTCTCTCTCTCTCTCTCTCGGTCTCTCTCTTTCTCCCTCTCCCTCTTTTGCTCTCTTTCTCCCTCTCCCTCTTTTTCTCTCTCTTTCTCCCTCTCCCTCTCCCTCTTTTTCTCTCTCTTTCTCCCTCTTTCTCTTTCTCTCCCTCTCCCTCTTTCTCTTTCTCTCCCTCTCTCTCTCTCTTTCTCTTTCTCTCTCTGTGTATATTTGTGTGTGTGTGTTTATATATGTACACGCACACACACACGCACGCACGCACGCGCGCGCGCACACACACACACACACACACACACACACACACACACACACACACACACACACACACACACACACACACACACACACACACACACACACACACACACACACACACAGAGTTACAGTTTTATATGATTTAAAAGTTTTTAGTTGAACAAGAAAGTTGCCATTTCAAATATTTAATACTCTTCTTCCTCTTCTGTAATTAATTCTAATAGAGAGAAATTTTATCTGAATCTTTGAAATATAATAGAATAAATTCTCTTCCAGATGCTTCTTGTGAGAGTCCCAATTCTCCATGCATAGCCTTGTATTCTTCACATCATCTGCTCATTTTACAACTGTAGTTTCTCCATAATGTGTACAATTATTGAAAATAAAATAAAAAGAATAAACACAAAAGTGACAATATGTTTGTTTCACATTTCCTTTTCTTTTTTATTTATTTATATATTTTTTATTATCTTTGTTTTGTACTTTTCTTGTTGGTGAAATTGCTTTTTTCACGTTTCCTTTTCTTCTTCTTCTTCTTCTTCGGTCTTTCTTAATTACCTTTCTGTTCTGCTCTTTTCTTGTTTTGAAATTGTGTAAATGTGACACCCCAACATATGGAACATAATTTCTAAAATGAAGATGAGTGAATATTTGAAGTTCTCATTGCCAGCTGATACAAAGTGCCTAGGCTCTTGTCAGTTAGCTTGTGTTGAGCAGACATCTTGTCCTTGTGAGCTCCTTTTTTAATTAATTGTGAAGGCTGGTTAGCACAGTGGTCTTCATTATTACACTTTTTACAATAACAAGGAATGCAAGGAATAGGGTAAAACGGTGAATTTAGGTAGGCCTAGTAACTTCTAGGTGACAAAGCATTCTGGAGCCATCTATGTGTAAACAAAATTGATAAAATGAAATCACAGTGAACAGTGAGTGTAAACATCCCCTCCCAACATCACAAAGTTAAATCATTTTTTTTTCTCCAAGTTCTTTAATGTACTTTATATAGCATCTGATTTATTTCAGATATAACAAAGGGGCTCAGAAAATACATATAGTGTTTTGTAAATATTAATTTTTAATAAATTCTACCTCTTGTTTCTTTGTTTTGAGGAGAGTGAAGAATAATTTTATGGATTGTTTAACTGAATGAGATTCCTAAATCCTTGACAAGAATAACTCTCAGTCTGTAACCAACCCAGATTTAGTGTGGGGAACAGTTCACCTTCCATGGAATGAACTTACCCCCCCCCAAAAAAAAAATAATAAATAAATAAATAATAATAATAATTAAAAAAAAATAAATAAATAAATAAATAAAAAATAAATAAGGTGTTTTTATCTGTTGTCCACAAATGCACCTCCTTCCACCCCCTGCTGTCTAGCCCCAACCCACTCAAGGAATTTTCTCCAAAATCCAGCCCTGGTGTGACCATGTAGAATGCATGTTGTGATATTTTTAAGAGAAATATATATTCCACAAAAAATGTTAATTTATGGATTTGAGGATGAGAAAATTCAGTCTGAAGGTTTAAAAATATATTCACAAAAACTATACACATGGACAAAAGAAAACCAAATAATTCTCACTACCAACTAACCTCTTCCCTTTTCTTCAAAACTTTATCAAAGGAATTTTGAGAAAGAAAGGGTTAAATTACAGGGTTAAATCAAATTCCCATCCACTAAGTGAGCTGTAGTTACTGCACCATGTCTGACATTGTACGCTGTCTGCAGGAATAATTATATTCTTGTTCACTTAACATTCAGTCAAAGCTGGGAAGGAGCAAGAGAAGAAGACCCTTAAAGTGCTTGTGGGCAGTATAATAATCCTGGTGCACAACAAAGATAGTCCATGCTCACACAACATACAACTCCCCCTAAACTGGCTTAAACTCCAAGAAGGGTACTTTGCAGGTTTGCCTAGAGACATAGGTCCTGCAACAGGCAACCTACTCATTTGTGACCACAGACACTGCTCAACCATATGGCTTGACGTATATTTTCTAATTCATACTAAAACCTGTTCATGGAATTAGCTGTAAATTTAGTCTGATATACCTATTACACATAGTGATAATTTAGA